CACCCACCCACCCATCCATCCATCCACACATCCATCCACCATCCATCCACCTATCTATGCATCCATCCATCCATCCATCCACCTACCCACCATCCATCCGTCCTTCCATCTACCCATACACCTACCTGTCCGTCCATCCACCTTGCATCCACCATCCATCCATCCACGCACCTACCCCTCCATCCACCCATCCACCCATCCTTCATCCATCCATCCATCCACTCACCATCTATCCATCCCACTCACCCACCCATCTATCCATCCACCATCCATCCATCCACCATCCATCCATCCATCCATCCATCCATCATTCATCCCACTCACCCACCCATCCATCCACCCATCCATCCATCCATCCACCCAACCACCTAACCACCCATCCATCTATCCATCCATCCACCCATCCATCTATCCACTCAACCACCCAATCATCCATATCCATCCATCCATCCCACCCACCTATCTAACCATCCATCCACTCATCCACCCAACCACCCATCCATCCATCCATCCATCCATCCATCCATCCATCCATGATTCATCCATCTATCCATCCACCATCCATCCATCCACCCACCATCCATCCATCCATCCACCCACTCAACCACCCAATCATCCATATCCATCCATGCACCCATCCACCCATCCATCCATCCATCCATTCATCCATCCACATATCCACCCATCCATCCACCTATCTACCCAATCATCCATCCATCCCACTCACCCACCCATCCATCCATCCACCATCCATCCATCCATCCACCCCCTCAACCACCCAATCACCCATATCCATCCATGCACCCATCCACCCATCCATCCGTCCATCCATTCATCCATCCATATATCCACCCATCCATCCACCTATCTACCCAATCATCCATCCATCCCACTCACCCACCCATTCATCCATCCACCATCCATCCCGCTCACCCACCCATCCGTCCACCCAACCACCTAATCACCCATCTGTCCATCCATCCATCCACCCATCTATCTATCCACTCAACCACCCAATCATCCATATCCATCCCTCCATCCCACCCACCTATCTAACCATCCATCCACTCATCCACCCAACCACCCATCCATCCATCCATTCATGATTTCTCCATCCGTCCACCCAACTTCCATCCATCCACCTTCCATCCATCCACCTATCTATCCATCCGTCCACCAATCCACATATCTATCCATCCATCCACCATCCACCTACCGCTCCACAACTTCACCCACCCACCCAGCCATTCATCCATCCATCATCCAGCCAGCCATCTATCCATCCATCTATCCATCCATCTGCCTTTCATCCACCCATCCACCCAACATCCATCCATCCATTCATCCACCCAACATCCATCCACCCATCCACC